GCACCTTTAAGACTAACAGAAGTATTGGAGCATAAGCTTTCGTGGGTAAATGCCCACTTCATCAGACACACTTGCGTCTGATGAAGTGGGCATTCACCCACGAAAGCTTATGCTCCAATACTTCTGTTAGTCTTAAAGGTGCCACAGGACCCTCTGTTGCTTTCTACAGATATATATTTATTTTGGCACAGAAGCCAATTAGGAGACATATGCAAATATGCATATATGATCTAATTAGTTAATATTGTCCCAGGACTCAATACACTGAAGGGGTAAATAGTTGTGATTTATTGATATCACGTGACTGTTTCCAGCCAATCACAACCCAGGGTTTTCTGCTCTTACAGTGATCACTATTAAAAAGTATGCCAAATTTTGGAAAACAAGCCTCAAACAACCCCCCAAAAATCAATATAATTCTTTTAAAATTTCCTGCAAATTTTATTGTGGTTTTTCTTGGAAAACTGTTACTGAAAAATATGTTAGTAAAAAATGTTACTGAAAAATATTTGGTTTTTCAGCGAAAAATTGGGAAATTTGATTGAAAGTGAAATTTTTGCCATGACATTTTCATTTTTGACAAAAGCCATTTTTTGGCAGCATTACTTTTCAATGAAAAAGCTTTGTCATGCTCTAAATAACCCTAACTAACCCCAGATCTTCCATGGGACAATTAACAAACAGGTGGGATACAGCCAAATGAAAGCAGTCAACCCCCATGGCAAGCCTGGCCTCACTCATTTTTGCTTGACTGAGGAAAATCTGGGATTACCGGAGAATTCCCTCCACTACAAGAATCACTGGGTGAGGTTCTCTGATCTCTGTAATGTAGGAGGTCAGGCTAGATGATCATATGATCTCTGAATCCATGAAGAATGTGTCAAATAGATAGTAATTCAAAAAGAAAATGCAGAATTTCTTATGCATTGTAGCAGGGCATGGTCCCTCCTGACTGGGGCTTTTCCAGGCTGCACAGTTCCCAGGCCTCCACAGTTTCTCCTGCTGGGGCCTGAGCACCTTCCTGCCTCCCTGGGTTCTGGGCACTTCTGCAGCTTGCAGAGCAGGCCGGCCCTTCTCTGGGCGCAGCTTCCAAAGGCTGGGTTTTTGCATCAGCAGGGGTGGGGAATTGCATTCACTTCCTCAGGCAATCCACGCAACACTGTCTACCCCAAAAGTCCATTCACGTCTGGCCCATTGTTCAGTACAGTCCTCTGCAGTTCATAACATTTCCCAGTGGTCACATCCCATCACCCCCTACAAAGAGGGGTTACATTTAATCCCGACCCACAGTAAAATGTAACCTTTGCATTTAATACAATGGACCCCAACGATGCTTAAACTTAATTAGGTAAGGTTTTTCAAGGCTATTGCAAGAAATTGCCATACTGGTCACAGTGACAATGATGATAATATTAACAATAACCATCTTACATTTGCTTCTTAATGTCCTGTTCCAAGGAACCCTCCATTTCTTTGCCTTCTTTCAGAACCTGAAATCAAAGAGCAAGTCAGCAGCAGTGAACCTTCCCCCTTCACTGGACAGCTAATGGCCTCCGGTGGGCACAGAGACAAGCCAAGTAAACCTCTCCTGCCTCCCCTGCCCTGGCCAGCGGCTTTGGGCTTCGCTGTGAAATATTCCAGTCCTAGGCGGGTCAGCAGCTGAACCCTCACCGCCCCCATTGCACTGCGGGGGTGACTGATGTGGCTTTGGGACCCGTTCAAGGCTGCACATTCAGCCTGCGACAGATCCCAGAACGAAACGCACCTTTCCTCATCTCCCAGCCTGGCGTTGCACCCAGACCTGCCCTGGCATTACAGCAGTGCAGTGCCAGGGCTCTCTGCCAGGGGTAGCTCAGGTGGTACAGACAGACGCATTCCCAGTGGGGAGCTATCCAGAGGGGCCTTGTGTGTGGAGGGGAACTGCTGGATCTCGTTGTGGGCCAGGAGGGTGGGGGACCAGGGGAACATGGAATAACTGTGACACTGGGTATGTTGGGTTATTTTATGTTAGGGAGTCAGGGCAGTGGAATATGCACCACTGTGTAAGGACCGGATGGGGTTGGGGGGAGTCCCAGCACAGCAAACGTAACTGGCATGCCTTCCCACCCCATCTCTGCCAGTGGGCAGCGAGTGATGCCCTGTCGCAGGCCAGCAGCGTGCTCCCCTCCACCAGCGGCCCCAGGGCTCGCAGCAGAGAAACGCTGTCTTCTCACAGCTCAGCCAGTACACGCTCTGCCTCTTGGAGTGGGGAGCCAGGACTCCTTCAGCTCCGATGTGGAAGGAGCTGCCGTTGCTGCATGCAGGCCGGGGCGATGCAGCCTGCAGTGACAGTCATTTCATACTTGTGCAGGACTTTCATCGGGTCAGAGCAAGGCCTTGGCCAGGTACCTGCCAACACCACAGTCACTAGCAAGGCTCAGGCCAGGCCCCGCAGCCACTGTCACACACTCCTACCACGGAGCAGAAGCGGGGACTCTCCAGCTGGCCTTGGTGCTGGCCCGGCGCAGCAGGACATTCGTCTCGGTAGCAAAGCAAATCTGATGAACCAAGCCAGCATCCTATGCTTGTCCATGGGCACAGACCCCGGGTACTTCACCTCAAGGGCACAAGCCGCGCTGTGTGAGCGAGAGGGGCCAGGCACCAGCTGTGTCTGTCCACGCTGAGGGAAATGATGAGCTGTATAAGGCAGGAGTGCCGCTAGCATTCAGACGAGCACATGCTGGGGCAGAGCCAGGCCTCACGAGGCCCTGTGAGCAGCCTGTGACAAGCGCTGGTTTGGTATTAAGTAGAGGGGCAACTGGCACATTCCCATGCTCTCAGCCTGGTGCAGAGCCTACAGTCGCTCCACAGTGGTGCTGAATAGCCCTGCTCCCACCGCCTGCTGCTGGGGTGAGTCGAAGTGAGGAGCTAGCGCATCCCCTGCATCCTCCCTGGATTGCGGCACATGAAGTGAGAGGGTCCCAATGCATTGGCTGCACCCACCTTCTCTCTGCGCCCCTCCCCCAGACTCCCGTCCCCTGTCCCCATGACTCACTATCCCAACGAGCCCTCTGAACCCCATGACCCCTCCATAGAGCTCCCTTGCTCCCTTCTCTAGGCGCCCTCCAATGGGCAGCCACCCTATCCTGCACTCCCCACCTCCTTTCGCGGGGCATGGCAGCTTTGCAGGCCCCTGACTGCTCCTGCTCCAAGCGCATACTGGGCCGCAGCCCCAGAACCTCTCCCTTTTAACTCACCAGCTAGCGGGACCTGCAGAACGCTTGCTGTGGGAAACTGGGCCCAGCAGTAGGTCCGCGGCACAGGGAACGGGGTGGAGGTGATTACTAAAGGGCCTGGAGCAGGGAGGTTCGGGTGGCACTGGGCATCACAGACCTTTGGAGGCGTATCTGAGCCAAACCTCCAGCTGTGCAGTAGTTAGCCCCTTGTCCTGCCTCCCATTCTCCTGGGAAGGGCACTCATTTTGGAGGGGAGGAACCTTCTGAGAGCCAAAATAGCTGGCCATTTGCAAGTCTGATTACAAACTCAACCCCGAGAGGAATCCCCTCCTGATGGGCAGTCTCTTCCAGCTGGGCTTTTGTGGGAAAAAGAAATGATGCCTCTGCTGGAGGCCTCAGGGTCCTGCCATACCCATCCCAGGAAAGGAGCAATAGAGGAGTCTTCCAGGCAGCCTAGAGTGGCTGTAGGGGAAGCAGCCAATTAGAGCTCAAGAGGGCCATATAAAAAGGAGCTGCAGTGCAGTGCATAGGCAGTTTCTTGCTGGAGCTAGTGGAGTGCAGATGGTGCTCCTGGCTGGCTAAAGGGAACTGCAGTACCAGGGACAGCTCAGTTCTGGAACAAGACCTCCTGGCTGGCTGCTGGGCTTGACACATAAGAGCCCTGAGGTAAGGGAGAAACACTGATGAAGGCTCGGGCTGTGGGGAAGTGGCCCAGGGAACTGAAAGCAGTTTGTTAAAAGGACATGGTGGCACATAGCTGCTATTCTTAGGGCGCTTGGGCTGGGAACCCATAGGCCACTGGGGAAGTGTCCTCAGGGCTAGTGCAACCACTAGGCGAACTAGGTGCTCGCCTAGGGTGCCAAGTGGTTGGGGGCATCCAAGATTTTTCCTCCCTCTCCTCCCTTCCCCTCACACAGAGTGCGGCGTGGCTCATGGGGCGCCTGGCCTGATTTAGCTGCTCCCATTGGCCTCCAGCCAGGGCCGTAGCAACAAAGAACGTGGCCCCCTCCGAACGGTGGCCCCCTCCGAACATATGTCTGGGCGGGGCCCCTTACAATGCAGAAACTGGAATGTGGTATTTATTTTGCCACTTTTAGGGGCCCCCTTCCTTGCGGGGGCCCCCTCCGGTCGGAGGGTACGGAGGGCGCTCGCTACGCCTCTGCCTCCAGCAGGCAGAGTCCCTCCCCTCCTCCCCTTGGCTCAGCCTCACTTTGCCAGCATGCTGCGAGGGAGGGGCTGTGGGCTCCGCAACCTGTTTGTTTTGGCTCCCCGTGGAGCCAGGGGCTGGAGCGGCATGGTGGTAAGGAGTCCCGGGGGGCTGTCAGGGGGCGGGGGGAGGGTTGGATGGGTTGGGAGTTCTGGGGGGGG